TATAAGAAGCTTCCCTCCTTCATTGTAGATCATCTCAAACCTAGCTTTGTTATTAGAATAATGAAGTTTGTTTCTTATCATCACGAGTTTTTAAAACTTTTCTTCGTTCTTCCTTAGTTTTTAGCGACTATTATAATTTTAGGATGAATAGTAAGGATGAATAGTAAGAATAAGATCTAAGTAGTATTATAAATATGCTCTGCAATTGTCTCTTTGATTATCCTTTGTATCAAAAAATGGCAGTACTAATCAAAAGATCGGATACGGAGGAATGGTGACTTTTGTAATACCAAAAGTTAGGCCCTGTGTTGATGCCTAAGAGAGGTTGTTCATGGGCTACAATATTGAGTATTACACAAGGTCCCACACTATTCAGTTGACTTGAGAGGATGTATGTTGTAGAAAGGACACATCAATTAATTATAAAAGATCTTGTATGGAGGATATTCTAGGGGAGGCGCCTTCATGTGTTTGAAATCTATTTGTTTTGGATTGGTGTTGTAGATTTGTCGCCTCACCTCGATCATGGAGGGTTCGACCTCTATATGGGAGTTCGACGGAGTGCACCACTTTGACTAGCTAATGGTCTTGGATAGGCCAGGCTTATTACATGGCTGGTAAGTGGTCATTTCTTCGAGCCTCGTTGCATGAAGTGTAATAGAATTTTTAGCAAATAAGTAAAATATATATTTTATACATGTTTATGTCCTTGATTATTAAATTTCTGGATTTTTCATTGGTGCACAAGCAAGTGCATTAGAAATTCAATATTAGAATAGTTAAATTATTAATTAACTATGGGTGGCGTTACTTATGTAGTTATTTTTAATCATGCAAGCCATGTTCATTTTTTCAAATACTGCCAGCTAGCAAGTATGATTTTTCTCAAGTCCGACCTTATGTTTACATTTATCAAATACTTTTTTTTGGCATAACAAATTCCTCTTCAATTTACTTGCTATATTTAAGTTCAGCAAAGTCAACTATTAATCCATTATTTGCTATAGTTTTGGTCGTGTCACTTTCTTCTACTAAAGTCAACTATTACTCCATTTACCAAAATAACCCTAGCACCTTTTTATAAATTTCTCATCATGTATTGCATCTCTCTCAAGCACTAGCTCGCAGCAATTGCTAAATTTCTACGTTCCAGTGCGATTTTCTTTGCCCTTTTCTTCTGCTTCCTCATTATAGCATCAAATGGTACGAGCTTTTAGATTCTTTTGTAACACATGCATGTTGCATATGGTCACGCATGTTAATAGATATATCTCTCATCAATTCGAGGTTTAAGCTTTTTTTTTTTTTTTTTTTTTTTTTTTTTTTTTTTTTTTTTTTGTGAATAAGAGTTTTCAGTTTATTTTGTAATACATGCATGTTGCATATGATCACGCATGTTAATAGATATATATCTCATCAATACGAGGTTTAAGCTACTATTTTTATTTTTTTTTGAAAAGTTTGATCATTTAATATGGAATCTAACTTATAATATGGTATTAGATTTCGTTAAGTTTCAACTAACAATTCAATCTGATTAAAACTTAAATGAATATAATGATTTTAATATTGATCTGTTAAACAAACCACAATATTGCGAAGCATGTAAAGGCATAAATCCAATATCAATCCGAAATATAAACGAATATAAAAGAATTTAGATTATCCCTCTTAACAAGGTAGATCTTTTAAGATGGATCCATGTTTTAATAATACATACACGTCCCAAAATATCAATAAGTCGCCAATCATGTATGCAATTATATTAAAATTGATTGTGTTAATTCTTGGAATGAGTTGGTTCAACATTGAATCGAAGCAAACAAAACCTTTGATAAAAAAGGGGGAAAAAAAATAGCTTGCACTTGAGGCCTTGTTGTCAGTAACACATAATTTAAATAAATTAGCTCGTCCCTCTTTAACAACTAAAATTTTGTAGACGTGGTGATTCAATACATGACAGTTATTACTTCATTTTTTTTCCCATTTTGTGTTTGTATACGCAGAGATGCAAACGGGGGAAGCACAAGATTGTCCAAGGTGGCTCTCAGAGATATACGAACAACCTTGCGATATTGAAACTTGTTATGCCTATTGCCGTGGTGTCGAAGGTGCTTATTCGGGAGGTTGTGGAACTTTCAACAGCGAATTAGAATATGTTTGCGTATGTGGTAATGAATGCTGACTGAATTGCAGTTTTTGCTATCTTTAACTCTTATCATATAAAAATAAAAGCAACTATTGCTTCAATATTAATAAAATTTTCGTGCTCGTTTTTCATTTTTTTTTTCTCAAAATTTTTTGGCTGCGTCCAGTGAAAATTTTTCCCAACACCTTGGTGTCTCCATTGACTTCAAGTCAAAATCTTTGAATGCCATGTGTATATTTGATAAATATGACACAATCTTTCATAGTTTACATTGCTCTCAAGATATCATGAATTGGACAACTCCATTGATCCGGTAATTTTACCATTCCTA